CTGAATTTTGAGGTAACTTGTTTGTTAGTAACGGATAACTAATACAGAACCTAAATGCAGATTTTAAATAGGGGTAAAAAACTCACTGGGATAACTTATTTACTACCATTTTGTGAGAAGAGAGTTTTTTTTTTTAAGTTAGAGGATATATAACATAAGTAGACTTCAGAATTCCTAATACCAAGCTATAGAGGAAATTGGTAAATGTGGATAGTTGGTGAAGCAGAGTATCCATTGTCTAAAACAGAGACTACCAGAGTAATGTATCCACTTCCTTGGGATCACCAACCCAGATTTCCAGAAAAATGAGGTGCTGGCCCTGCCTTTTCCCTTCCTCCAGGCTCCTTTCTCACGCTCCTTGGTCCTGAGTTACTCTCATACTGCATGGTTAGTTATTTGACATAAAACCTCCAGAGATAAACAACACAGCTCTTTTGGCAACCCTTGTACAAAACTACTTTTCCTGAAAGAAAACAGTGCGCTGTTTGTTTTGCTGAACAAAACATGAAGACTAGGCATAAGTTCTTTTATCTTCTTCTTGTATGTGGCTTGTATATGAATTAATAGATTTAATTAATTTACTATTACTTTCAGTCACCCTATCTAGCATTAAATTCCCACAATAAAGTCATTTGAAAAGCAGAATCATCAGGTTTCTGAGTATTAATAATTTTTAAATGATTTGGGTCATAATGTCCATGTGTGTTGTGGGACATTTTTCTCTCCTAGAATGCTTTCTTATAAAAGAAAAAATGTATATATCTTTAATTTTTAGGTGCATAAAATTTACAGATATTCGGATCCTTTTTCTCATTCCAGACATTACCTTGGAGATTTAGGCCTCTTCTAGTATTGTTATTTAAACCGTATTCTCCACATCCTCCTTGATCAACATTTATTCTTTTATTAAACAACATTTATTGAACATACACTCTATGCCAGATACTGAGATAGGCACTGGGGATATAAAGATGATTTAGGTATGTATCTGTTTCAAAAGCTTAGAAGCAGCTTAAACATTCATCAGTAGGGTACTGATTAAATAAATTATAGTACATTCATATAATACATTCAAAAGTAAACTATTACTCAGCTGCTAAGAAGAATGAGGAAGTTCAGTCCATACTAATATGAAACAATATTCAAGGTCTGTTGTAGGATAGGGTGGGCAAGAAAGAAGCTAAGATACTGAGGAATGTATATAGTATATGACCACTTGTGTAGGAAAATATATATATACACATTCATGCATATTTACATATATTCCTACTGGACTAGACTAAATCTGGAAAAATTCAGAGGAAACTGATACCAGAACTGACTGAGGAAAAATAATTAGATGGCTGGAGGACAAAGGTAGAGGAGGGAAACTTATTTTTCTGAGCCTTCTGTATTTTGAACTGTATTTATTAATTCCTTACTCAAAAATAATACATTAACTTTAAAAGGAAAAAAGTCTGGCTTTTAAAAAACTTGGAGTACAGGAGAGATAGATAATATAAGAACTAAGTATACTACAGAGTATATTGGATGTAAAATATGTGCATAAAAGAAAGGAGAGGCCATTTTTTTCTTTAGGGCATCAGTGGGTGATGAAGTCAGAGAGAGATTTGTAGTGGAAGTTACTTGAGGAGTAGTAACAGATTGAGGATTTACCAGTTTCTCCCTAACACTGAGAAGTAACAGCAACACAGATTTATATAGAAGACATAACTATCTCCTGAAATCCGTTAAAATTACATTTACTACTGCAGAACCCAGTCCTAATTCCTGGTGTATCTGCTAGTTCCATTTCACCAGCAGCTGAACCACTAGCATTTCTGCCTTTCCCTCTCTCCAACCTTCCCTCTCCTTCATGCCCTCTCTCCTTTTGCTTTTTTTGTGAGAGAAGGCATATGTATATCAACAAGTTATGTTTCAGTAGCAATTACATTAATTATTTTTATTTGGCAGAGATACTACAGGTAAACCCAAACTCTGTATTGTTGAAAAAATTTTTTGATATTGGTTAGAGTTGTATGCTAGCACACATTTATGATAATATACCTATTGTCTGGGCTCCCTCCCACGAACAATCTTCCTCTAGGTGGCAGAGTTACTTCTTTTGAATGGAGCAGATCCATTATGTAGAAATGACAATGGAAAGTGTGCTTTGGATGAGGCCAAAGATTTATGTATGAAGCGTCTTCTTGAGAGATATGTTTCTAAACATAAAAGACATCTCACATCAGGTAAGATTAAATTGCCTTGTCATATCTGTTCATCATGTCAGTGCAGAATTACTGAAGTTGAATTTAGAATTATAGAAATTGAATAGATTTTCCTCATAAGTTTTGAGAAAATCCATCCAGTGGTGTTCTTGCTCCATTCCTTTCATAGAGCACACTATTTGTTTGCAGATTCATCAAATGGAAAGACTCTAAAAGAACAAAGAAAGATAATATCAAATGTACTTTTCCCCCAGAATGTGCACTGCAGACAGTTAAGAAAACTTTTGTAAAGTTCTGTTTTTTCACCCCCATTATCCACTGACTGAATAATGTAAATTATTGTAAATGAGGTGATGTAAATTATATTTGGCTGTATCCTTTTCCCTGAATATGGCCAGGATTGCTTACTTCCATTCCTTAAGAATATTTTCTTATGACTGCACTTTTGTCCTTTCATTCATTACACTGTTAAGTTGGACTATAAAAGAACTGGATCTAGAATGTGAAATGAATATGTATATGTATGACTGAAACATTGTGCTGTCCACCAGAAATTGGTACAACATTGTAAACTGACTGTAGTTCAATTAAAAAAAAAACTCTTGAGAGGGAGAGTATAGCTCAAGTGGTAGAGCACATGCCTAGCATGCACAAAGTCCTGGATTCAATCCCAAGTACCTCCATTTAAAAAGACAAAAAACAAAAAAAGGAAACAAACAGAAAACCTTGATCTACAATTTCAAAAAGATTATTAAGAATTATTTATCTATTTACTTATTTCTATTGAAGTATAGCTGATTTATAATACTATTTTAGTTTCAGGTGTACAACCTAGTGATTCAATATTTTCATATGTTATATACTCCACTTAAAGTTATTACAAAATAATGGCTTTATTTCCCTGTACAATATATAGTTGCTGCTTTTTATACATAGTAGTTTGTATCTCTTAATTCTATACCCCTGTTTTGCTGCTCCCCCTTCACTCTCCCCTCTGGTAAGCATTAGTGTGTTTTCTGTATCTGTGAGTCTGTCTCTATTTATACATTGTTTGTTATATACATTGGTTTGTTTTATTTTTTAGATTCCATATAAGTGATACCATAGAGTATTTGTCTTTCTTTGACTTACTTCACCAAAAATAATACCTTCCAGGTCCATCCATGTTGTTGCAAATGGCAGAATTTCATTCTCTTTTATGGTTGAGTAATATTCCATTGTATATACATTTATCACATCTTTATCCATCCATCTGCTGTGGACAGTTAGGTTGCTCCCATATCTTGGCTGTTGTAAATAATACTGCTATCTATGATCATTGGGGTGTGTGTATTTTTTTGAATTAGTGTTTTCATCTTCTTTGGATATATACCCAGCTGGATCATAAGGTAGTCTATTTTTTGTTTTTTTGAGGAACTTTCATACCATTTTCCATAGTGGCCACACCAATATACATTCCTTAACAACAGTATACGATGGTTCCCTTTTCTACAAATCCTCAACAACCTTTGTTATTTGTAGATTTTTTGGTAATAGCCATTTTGACAGGTGTGAGGTGATATCTCATTGTGCTTTTTTTTTAAATTGAAGTATAGTCAGTTTAGAATGTTGTGTCAATTTCTGGTGTACTGCATAATGTTTCAATCATACATATACATACATATATTCATTTTCATATTCTTTTTCACCATAAGTTACTACAAGGTATTGAATATAGTTCCCTGTGCTATACAGTATAAATTTGTTGTTTATCTATATTATATATATTAGTTAATATCTGAAAATCTTGAACTCCCCATTTATCCCTTCTCACCTCCTTCTCCCCCAACCC